GTCAAATGTAAGACCTGAAACTATAAAACTACTAGAAGAAAACATAGGAAAAAAGCTTTTTGACATTGGTTTAGGCAATGATATTTTGGAAATGACACCAAAAAGGACAGGCAACAAAAGCGAAAATAGACAAGTGGGATTGAATCAAACTAAAAAGCTTCTGCACAACAAAGGAAACAGTCAACAGAATGAAAAGGCAACCTATGGAATGGCAGAAAATATTTGCAAACCATATATCTGTTAAGGAGTTAATACCCAAAATATATAAGGAATTCAAACAAATCAAGAGCAAAAGAACAACCCAATTAAAAAATAGGCTAAGGTCCAGAATATCCATTTCTCAAAAGAAGACATACAAATCGCCAACAGGTACATGAAAAGGAGCTCAACATCACTGATCCTCAGGGAAATGCAAATCAAAACCTCAATGAGATATCACCTCATGCCTGCTAGGATGGCTATTATGAAGAGGACAAACGATAATGTTGGCAAGGATCTTGTGAACTTGGCAGACTTAAGCTAAGTGAAATAAGCCAGACACAGAAAGACAAATACTATCCACCCTTACTTCTACATGGAACCTAAAAAAGTTGAATCTTAAAAGCACAGAGTAAAATGTTGGTTGCCAAGGACTAAGGGATTGAAGAAATGGGGAAACGTTCATCAAAGTTTCTGTTATGCAGGATGAATAAGTTCAGGAGATCTAAAGTACACATGGTGCCTATAGTTAATACTGTGTTGTATATTTGAAATTGGCTGAGAGATTTGATATTAAATTTTCTCACCTCACACACAAAAAAACCATAACTATGTGAGGTGATGGATATGTTAATTAGCTCGATGGTGGTAATCATTTCACAAAGTATATGTATATCAAACCATCATGCTATACAGCTAAAATATAAACAGTTTTCAATTGTCAAGTATATACTTCAATAAAGCTGGAAAAAAATTCTACATGAGTTTGTTGGCTGTGTTCTAGAAGCTTAAGGAAACTGGAAGAAAAGCGCTAATGCATCACTAATTCTCATGACTCATTCTCACACAGTATAAAGTTTTTACCGTAGCACAGTTATAGGAAAATCAGATGACTGAACTACTAAAAGACCAGCTCACCCATAAAGGTTAATCTGCCTGATGTTTCCTAATCTTGGCAAGTAAAAAGAGCTAATGTGTAATCCATTTTCACATTTCTAAAAGAGTTTCCAAAACTGGGTTATTTATTTTCATAGCTATTCGAAAAAATGCAGAATTGAAAGTAATAAAAGAAAACAGTCCATGCTATAGCTCCCATATTAATTCCCACAAATAAGTTCAGTTATAGAAAGGTTAAAACAAGTAGTCCAAAAATATTTAGCCTTAATTATACATATCATAAATTTATAACTTTTTTTATAAAGTAACATTATTATTTTTCCCAATTACAAACAAACAGTTCTGAGCATTCATGTATAACAACAGAAAAAATACCAAGAAACAAAAGATCATTTATATTTCCATTTCTCAGAGACAGATTATATTTGAATTTTCTTACAACCTTTATAGACAGACAGCATTTTGTTTTTCTTTCTTTTTTTTAAGATTGGCTCCAAGCTAACACGTGTTGCCAATCTTCCTCTTTTTTTTCTTCCTCTTCTCCCCAAGCCCCACTACACAGCTGTGTATCCTAGTTGTAAGTCATTCTAATTTTCTATGTGGGATGCCGCCACAGCATGGCCTAATGAGCGATGTGTAGGTCTGTGCGCAGGATCCAAACTTGCGCACCCTGGGCTGCCGAAGCAGAGTGCACGAACTTAACCACTTGGCCACCAGGCCGGCCTCTACAAATAGCATTTTTAAAATAGATATCTTATTAAAATTGGTTTCATACTTTTCTGTATCATTTCTCTACATTTAGTAATACATGCTTGTGTGGTTTATGTCTTTTATTGATGATATCTTTTATAGTCACCAATATATTATGAATATTGTCTATTCTATGGCACATTTTTTCAATGGCCAAATCATCTATTCAAAATCCGTCTCCAATTTTTCCATCCTAGTACCACAAAGCACAGAGAAGAGGGCATTAGTACTAGCCCTCATAGATCAAAATTTATTGAAAGCTTTATGCTTATCTTTGGCATTCCAGTCTGTAAGTAGATTTGTGTTTACTCCAAATGTCACATAATACTTTATGTAACTTTTCTCCCCAAATCTTCAAGTAAATCCAATGACGTTGCATCAGGTTTATCTGGTGGTGTTGCATACTCCCTGGCATATCACTATGAGGGTCTGCATACCCTAGTTTGAGAAACATTGGTTTAATTGATGATTTTCTAAGAGAACCTTGCTAAATCAACAGGGAAGCACGCTATAAAAACTATGCTAGAGACTCTGGACTGCGGATGGGCGGTTGGTGGAGGCAATTCTATTACGTAAAGTTACAAAGAGAAGACAGTTCATGGTTCAATGTCAAAGGTCTTACTGGTCTTTTGAAACCATCCTCGGCAGTCGATTCTATTCTATAAGATAGTGGGCAAGGACTAGTTTACACTTAGGCAAATGTTAGTATTGCTATTCTTATTATTTTTATCAGTTATAATTGTTATTTGTATTATTCAAAAGAATACTAATTTTTCAGCCCAAATTTCCTAGTCCTTCCATTAGGCTCTGGAGATGAAATAGACAAGCACTTCTTGCTCTTGAGGAGCACAAAATTAGTGGGAAGTTATGTATGTGCGTGTGTGTGTGTGTGTGTGTGTGACAAGAGCTAAGAATGAGTAGTGAAAGGAAAGAAATTGAAGACGGAGCACAGAGAAGACTTTGATGGAACAATAACTGAGAGAAGTTGAGAAAGGAAATGGGAAATGAGCAAGAACAGACATTTACTTTTGGAAAGAGGTAGGGTTTTTTCTGGAGGCAAATGGTGACAAAAAGTGATCTGTTGCAGGTACAGGCACATTTGGAGAGGGAAAAGAGAAAGTTAAGGGAGTTTGTTCCAAATGGCTCTATTTACTATTCAAATGATAGAAGAACGACGGCAGGGTGAAGAACATTTTAAGGGGCCGCTGGAGGAGTTGAGGATTGTTATAGGAAAGCAGTGCCAGGAAACAGAAACACATGTGTCTAGAACCCTTGAGGGCCTAGCTAAGGTGATAAACTAAAATTTTTAGTAGTCCCAATGAGCATGACCAGAAGCAGTTTGGAAAATACAGATGGTTATAGTAACTCAACTTCAAAGATTGATAAAGCCATTATGACTGAACAGTGGATACTCGTATCTATTCTCAGGGATAGTCTGATAAATAAATGTGTTACTACATTCAAAGTACTTAGTAGAGTGCATGGCACATATTTAGGACTCAAATTTATGTTAAAATGAAAAAATAAGACATAATAGAATTCAAAGTGCTGATTGGGAATAAAATTGAGATGTTAGATCATTAAATCTCAGTTTATTAGGAAAAAAGTATTAAAAGCTAGTTGTATGGAAAAAAGCAGGAAGCATTGGGAATCCAGAATTATATTTTATCTTTTTAATTATGTTGGAAAACAGGTTTAGGAGGACTGATCAAGAAGTAGAGGATACAAGGATTAGATGAGATTTTTCTTTCTTTCTTTTCTTTTCTTTTTTTTTTTTGGTGAAGAAGATTGGTCCTTAGCGAACATCTGTTGCAAATCTTCCTCTTTTTGCTTGAGGAAGATTGTCACTGAGCTAACATGTGTGCCAATATTCCTCTGTTTTGTACGTGGAATGCCGTCACAGCATGGCTTGATGAGCAGTATGTAGGTCTGTGCCCAGGAGCCGAACCGGCAAATCCCAGGCCACCAAAGCGGAGCAGACGAACTTAACCACTATGCCACAGGTCCGGCCCCTAGATGAGATTTTCAACCCTAAATTTTCAGAGAGGATGATAAGGTCTAGAATGTATTCATGGGAGTTGGTTAAGGAGGAAACATATTTATGAAGGTGACAACATTGAAGAGGTCAATGTTTGCAAAGGATGAATCACCTGGAAGTTGAGATTGCTCACAATTTGATCCAGAGGAAAACCATCAGCAGAACAAGAACCCAGGTGTGTGGCCTTAAAAGAGAAGACATTTTTGAATAAGGTTCCTTTTTTTTTTTTTTTTGAGGAAGATTAGCCCTGAGCTAACTACTGCCAGTCCTCCTCTTTTTTGCTGAGTAAGCCTGGCCCTGAGCTCACATCCGTGCCCATCTTCCTCCACTTTATATGTGGGACGCCTACCCCAGCATGGCGTGCGAAGCAGTGCCATGTCTGCACCCAGATCCGAACCGGCAAACCCCAGGCCACCGAGAAGCAGAACGTGAGAACTTAACCACTGCGCCACCGGGCCAGCCCCTGAATAAGGTTCTAAGAATAAAATTTTGAAAGACGCATCGAGTAACTAGAAAGACAATGACCCTACTATCTAACATTGAAAATTTGAAAACTTTATAAGGGAATAAGTAGTCACTTAAGTGGAAGCATCTTAGGCTGTAGAAATTCAGATTTCAGTTAAGAGGATGATTTCTTAGAAAAGGAGTTAATGATAAGGCTTTTGTTTTCTTTATGCAATAGAATAAGAATTCTAGATTGTAGAGTAGAAACAGTTAGTTGAAGGGAAATGGCCCAGGGAAGGGGAAAAGCTTACATGGATGGAAAAGACAGTCTGGAAAATGATAGACGACCAGAGGGATCTTTACCTTGTGCAGTTATTGCAAATCTTTGGAAATAAAGTAGACAGTGAAGCTACACTAATGCAACTAAGTTTCCTCTGGGATTTTTAAAGAACTTTAGTCAAAGCTATTTTGTTGCCTAGAGGACATGAAGATTTCATGGTAAAGTTTCATGGGCAGAAAAACTTTACCTCCTCCAACATGTACAGCTCTTTCTTCAATGTATGAGTAGGACTGGACCCGGAAAGAAATGCAATTCCTCACAATTCCAAGTTCCTCTATATTTAGATATTAAAAACAATACTTGAACATCCCATTTTCTGAAGAAATCACTTACCTCCAAATACACATCCTGGGGTAAAAGAGATATCATCAAGGGCAATAAAGATGTCCTCATTTCCGCTCAAATCAGCTTCAAATGCCACCTTAAATGGACTGTTACTGGAGAGAGGCGCATATCCGTACATCCAACCAGTTCTTTTATTGCCAATCACTGACCATTCCAGGATGTTTAGTCCAGATTCCTCAATGATATACACCTAATAATGGGGAAAAGCCAAAACACAGAAAAAGCAACTCTTTATGGTTTGGATGTTAGAGGTATGTGAGCATCCAGGTTGTTATTGAAAGAATAGAGTCTGGCAGTGTGACAGCTCAAAATCTTGAGTATAATATTTTCTATATGTACAAACTGTGGTTATACAGTGAGCCTATGGATGTTATGTTTTATTTGGTTAATTAGATCTTTGTTTGGTTTTCTTATATCAATTTCTGTGTATCAAATTGGACATAGTCAAAACTAACTTGTGGGGCCAACCCCGTGGCCAAGTGGTTAAGTTCAGGTGCTCTGCTTCTGTGGCCCAGGGTTTTGCCAGTTTGGATCCTGGGCATGGATCTAGTGCCACTCATCGAGCCACACTGAGGCAGTGTCCCACATAGCAGAACTAGAAGGACCTACAACTAGAATATACAACTACGTACTGGGGGGCTTTGGGGAGAAGAAGGGAAAAACAAAAAAAGATTGGCAACAGATGTCGGTTCAGGGCCAATCTTTAAAAAAAAATAAAAACTACAATTTTCTTAAGCAACTGAAATGCTGGAGGAGGTATACAACCAGAATTTTTCATTGCTAAAGAACTTTATCCATGTTTAAATAAGGTCTTACTGGAGAAAAAGAAAATCCTTATAGTAAATGAATAAGAGAGTATAGACGTCATTTCAGAAAGCAAAGTAATGTGCAAAAAATATTTACCACTTTGACAGAGAGAACATCTTCCTGAATTAAATAACACTAATATTCAGGACTTTTTAAAGTGCAAGGACTAAGAGATTCAACAAACAAGAAGTGAAACAGAAATAAAGTTAGCTTTGAAACCAATCACCATGCCAAGTTCTAACTATTTTTTAAACAATCAAAACAATTCAAACAAAACAAAACTATCATTTCCTAGTGCTCTTCAAAAAATCTGTATTTAAACAACAACAAAAAAGGTAAAGTAGAAAAGATATTTTTCTATATTCTCTTTCTGCACCAAACTTTTACAGTTATCATTGCCCTAGACGCAACATACATGTATATATATGGCTTACCATATGCTTCAGCAATCACTTATACAACCCTTTTTTCATGTGAGAAAAAGAAGACCCGAAAAAAGAAAACACATAGGTACTAATTTTCCTCTATTGTAGTAGTCTTTTTGTCCAACGACATTTCCTTCTACTGAAAAATTTTACTTTCTCACTTTTTTTCTTAGTGGCAAAATTTATCTACAGATAATTTATCCCATAAAAACTTATCCAAAATTTACACTATCAGATGGAGAGGATAATACCACTCATCCTAGTAGATATAATATTATATTGACATTCTAGAAATACTACCAAAAACCACCAAAGAACCCAGACCCAGAAATTAAGTGCACTGCCAATGTTCACCACTACAAAAAGTCTAAGGTTGAGCCAGAAATCCAACTGTTCACAGAAGATAAACAAAACACCAAAAGCAAATCAAGATGATAGATCAAATAAAAACAGAAAACTTTCCCAGAGTTTGGAAACCTGAAAAGTGAGATTTTAACATCAACATTTGGAAAAACAGGCATTTCCTAAGCAAAAATCACTTTTTATACTGATTTCTCAGTAAATGGAATAAACTAAGATTCAAGATGCAAGTAATTTGGGTCAGTTGACTGTTTCCAGTTTCACACAGAAGCAAATACTCATCCCAAATAGTCTTCAGCTCCAAGATTTGGCGGATGTGTAGTTCTCAAATTCATGCAAATTTTCCCCATTTAAAAAAAATTAAAAGTAAAAAGGTATGAATCTTCCAATTCAACTTGATAATGGGCCAATGCTACAAAATCAAACTAAATTGAGCTCTCCTTTTTGCACAAGGCCTAGGTTACATCACAAAGATTTAAAAGGGGACAGCTTTCTTGTATTTATTTTGTAATTCTTTTTCTGGCAAAATCGGTTCAGAAAACCAAATTACATGAAAACACATCTCAATATCTCCTGTTTTTCCCTCCTGAAATCCTAGCATATATGTATTTTTTTAATGTATCTATTTTTATTGTTTTTATACTTCATTTTATTCTCTGCTCTCAGTCTTTTTAATCTTTAATCAATTCTACATGCTCTTGCCAAATTCCCTTTCCTTCCAATTTCTTTTTACTCTACTTCTCAAAACTCTATGTGGTCTCCTGCCCATCCCCCCATCGTGAGGATTAACTCTCCAACAGATGTCAATCTATCTTATACCATTGTTTCACACTACTACGATCTAAACGAATTCTGGTCAACCTCCCTAACTCACTACTTAATTTCAATGAAATGTCTTGACAAGCTCACAGGTTGCTTAATAGTAACACGTATTTATAATACCACCAATGTATTAAATTGAACAATTGCTTATTATGTCAAGTGTTTCTATAGTCCCAACAGCTAAAGGAAAAACTAAGAGGCTCATTTAAGGACTCCGTTTAATGTTGGGTTTTATTTATGGCCAATAGGAAACCCACTAGAGGCTACAATTATAGCTTATTATTTGAAATAGCTTTCTAAAAATCAACTGCTAGAAGACTAATTTGGCTATTTCTATTTTAATATTCTAAGTTTTGGTTGAACGCATACCCATTAATTTAATAATTATCAATATTATATATTATAAAACTATTATTGTATCACAAAAACAATATAGATTCAAAGAATATATAAGTAATTATGTATCATAATGAAGTTTATATATTATAATCAGTTATTTTGTGTTCAGAGGTGATATTATAATCAAAGCTTATGCTGTAGGGTGGAAAAAACTTGAAGAGAACTTGCTAAGTCAAAACATAGTCAGAATAGAGGCCAGCACCCTGGCCAACTGGTTGAGTTTGCACATTCTGCTTCAGTGGCCTGGGGTTTGCTGGTTAGGATCGTGGGTGTGGACCTAGCACCGCTCATCAAGTCATGCTGTAGAGGCATCCACATGGAAGATCTAGAATGACCTACCATGAGGATATACAACTATGTGCTGGGGATTGGGCAGAAAAAAAACATAGAATAAAATATTATCTAAATATAAATATTATAAATAATATTATCCAGTTAAATCTATGTCAAGTCTTTTGAGGAAGCAACTCTTCAGCATTTATTTAGAATGAACATTCCTTTGGAAGCAAATATTCAACAACAGACATGAAAAGGTAGTTGAAAATATAATTGTTAACAATTAAATCCCAGAATTGGATGAATATTAGAAGCCAGCTAGTTCAATAATATCCGTGTATCTAGGCTGTCCAGGTAAAAAATAGAAAGAACTTGATTAGTAGCTTTTCCTCAAGTTCCTCTTCTGCAGCTGGTCAGAATCTCCAGGTACCCACATCACTGAAGGCAAATGACTAGCACTTATTTAGAGAATCTGAATGGACACTTCTGGATATCAGAAATACTTTACCCACTTCATATGTATCTATCTCATTAAAGTTACTGTGTGAAATGTATCAGTGGGTGGAAACATTGGCTTTACTTTGCCCTCAGATACTCTAACCTGTTCTGCTAGGAGTCTGCTCTTTAATCACCACTGAGAGTGCAAAGCAATGAACTGACCTACAATTAATCCTTACTAAGCACAGGTTTTCATGGTTTCATTTGAAAACACTCAAATTTTATATAAGAAGAAAGAAAAAGTCAAAACTAATGGAAAAGGAAATTTCCCTCAAAAAAAAGCTTATAGATTTTAAATTAATTTAACAAAGGATAGACATAGCTACAATGTTGCCCACATTAATAAAAATTTAGCATATTCACATATATTATGTTATATGAACCCTACTCCCTATGTGGGCATAGGGTAAGATTATTGACTGCCCTGTACAGATCTGGAATTAGAGATGTAGAGAGAGATTAAGCAATTCACTACACATATAAAGCACAGACTTCCAGTCTCCACTATGGCATATAGTGGAGGACCATTTCTGGTCCTCAGGACAGGAAAAAAGCTGAATGAATTGAAAGTCAAGAACTTTTCTTAGATCTATCAGAGAATTGAGGTCATAGGGCAATAATGACAGCAACTTCCAAAATTGGAGAGAGAGATCAGTGGACTCTGAGAACCACAATTTACCAGAGCAGAAGCCCAGTGATAGGAACCCCTGTAGAAACTAGTGGTGAAGCAGGGTAATCTAAACTGTAGTTGATGAACTGTTGGAGCCTTATTGTGGACAAGTTTGAAAGTTAAACTTCTTGGGGGGATCCAACACTTTTCTGAGTTTGACTTTCAGGAGCCCAGCAGGTTCTCACAGTGAAAGTAAGAGAAAAATTCTGTCAAATTATTGGCAGGAGGTGAAAAGCAGCTATTTTGAAACATAACCAGAGCATTCTGTTCTTCTTAGCAAGACCTGCCCTCAAGACAAACTATTTAAAGAAAGCCTAATTTACTAGGGTTTACCACAGCCCAATCAAATTGGAGGAAAGAAAGTACCTAACTCCAGTCCCTGATAGCTTTCCAAGTGGGGGAAGGGAAGTAACCAATTCCAGCCACCTCTAGCCGTTCTGACTTATCTAAGGAGGGAAAAGAAAAAAGAAACCAAGAGGTAACTGTGAAGGATACAACACAGGGGCATAAATGAATCACTAAAAGACAGAACTAACCATAAGCCTACTGAAAGTTTTCTCTCACCCTACAACTTCCCAACACAAAAATAAGGCTTCTGTGGCATAATAGGGAAATACAACTGAAAGAACAGCATGTTTTAGACCTTATTTAGGAAGAAATTTCTCTGGAAAGACAAAGACAATGGGGAAGATGCACATACAACAAAGACAACAGAGGAAATTATAGCCTCTGATACCTAGAGTTACAGCAAAGAGTAAATACAGCCTAACCTAAAGCCAGATAAACATAAGACCTCATACTAAAAGCCCAAATCCTTCCAGCTAGTACATCATGTCAGGCTGTGGAAAAAGTTACAAGGCATACTAAAAGACAAAACACACACTTTGAAGAGACAGTGCAAGCATCAGCACCAGATATAGATAAGGTAGAGGT